TTACCACCTACCTGAACCCCATAGGCCTAACCCCATGGACTGTTATCATCAAAGTTGATGGGGTCATTTCACTAGCCCAACTGAAATTTAGCTAGCTGTGGTAGATGACATGGCTATTGTTTAAGTGTGCCAAAGAAGTCTTCATAGTAGATGAGGTTAATAATAAGTGAAACTGGAGTTGAGGACAGACCTATTGCAGCAGGAAAGGACACTAACCTAATTATTGGAAGAAGTATGGAAAATGAGAGTTCGTACAAGGAAAAAACTCATACCAAGTTTTATGTATTGTTCTTGGCATCTCGCCATTATTATATATGCTTGCTGGAGAAACGTTTAAGAAAACTGTAGCGCAATCCATGTTTTTTATTATTTAGTGTATGACGATAGTGATTAAAAAGCAAGAAGAAATGTTCACAATTTTATATCCAACTTTTGCAGCCAGCTGATTGCCTTATGTGTAGTATTGTGCAGATCCAGTAGAGTTCTGTCAAATGCACAGAGAGGGCTTTTTTGTCATTTCTCCAGTCCACCCTTTCTATATGGTTTGCTCCCAGTATTCTGCACAGGCCAGTGCGTCCAGTGTTCTTGTTGCCAAATCTGGTGGGGTACATTATGGTGCCTCAGGGCATCTCAGGAAATAGATGAGCCATGGGTTGCTTCTCCTAAAAAACACATTGGTCATTTACTTAGAGGCCCCGCTCTTACGCAGTTCAGGCTCCGCCATATATGCCACTTGTAATTGGAGCCGGATGCTAACTCTTAACTGGGGGGTGAACAGAAGGTAGTTCTGGGCGATTCCAGTGATGTGGTCAATAGCATGGTAAAGGACAAAATGCTGTTTCTTGGTGAGAGACAATGGTGTGCTGGTTGATGTCCATATAGCAGGTGGCAATCATCTGACTCTTGTATCTGCCAGTCAATGCTGCCTGCTACTTTCTTCCTGATAATGCATATAGGCAGGGAACAGGGGTGGATTTTAGGCAGCCTGTTACAATTCTGCATGTATCAGTTAGGGCAGTGTCAATATGTTTACTGTGACTTGAGCATGCCCAGGTGGTGCAGGCATATTCAACCACAGAGAAACAAAGTGCTAAAGCAGTAGTGCATAGGGTGGATGGTTGTGCACAAAATGTTGTTTCATATATTGACCTTGGCTTTGATATTTAATATATATTTTTTGTAACTAAGTGTACAGTCCAGTGTTACCCCTAAGTAAGCTGGGTGGTTCTGATGTTCAAGAGACTGGTCACACCAGATGACATTCAGGTGTCATTCTGCATCTAAGTTTCTCAGATGAAAAACACAAATTTGAGTTTTGCTAGGGTTGGATTTGAGAGAAAACAAAACCTTGTTTAAGTCGTAATCTGACATCATGTTCAGTGCCCTCTCCAAGATCTTCTTTGTGTCCTCAAAACTTTTCTGCTGTGTGGTAATGCAGAAATTGTCAGCACAGATGAAACAGACATCCATCAGGAAGTGGCTGATCACTAATGTAGATGTTGAATAAAAGTGGGGCAACCACGCTGCCTTGTGGTAAGCCATTCTTTTGGGAGTGCCATCTATTTTTCTCTTCATGGTTTAGTTAAGGTGTTTTCTTAATGGGGAAGGATGTATGTTGTAAGAATAAGGTGAATGTAGACTGTTCTTCATGGTGTACCCTGAGTTATGCTAAATAGTCTACAACATGATGATGCTGAACTGTCCTTTGGACCTCATGGCCAATGATCATGAAGACAAATGAACAATCTGTGTAATATAGCTTCAATATAAAGGTACTGGGCTGAATTATGTGAAACAGAACATAGCTCTAACCAGGGTGTTCGTTTCTTTTCCTTTTGTCCTTTTCTTAGGTTTTGAGCTTGGCTTTGCCATGGCAAGTCCCAATGCTCTGGTGTGCTGGGAAGCTCAATTTGGTGACTTTCACAACACTGCACAGTGCATAATAGACCAGTTCATCAGCTCAGGGCAGGCAAAGTGGGTTCGTCACAATGGAATTGTGCTGCTTTTGCCACATGGAATGGAAGGAATGGTAAGGCTTTCACTGACTTGCTGGAGCAGGAAGCATGCATGAACATAAAGCTGTAGAATAAAAGCCACAGAACTGTTCCCTTTTTGCAATAGACATGTAGATGCATGATCCTTAATTTTTTTAATGAGAAATGAATGTGGTGCTGACATGTTAAAGTATTCTTTTGCTATATAAATGTGTGTGTTTGTGTGTGTGTGTGTGTGTTTGGACACTTACAGAAGTTACATTTTTCCTGTGATGAGACCCTTGAAAGTGCTCTACAGCTGTAACATAACTGTATGGCTGCAGAGTGCTTTTAAAATAGCTCATCCATGAAAAAAAAAACCATCATTAAATCAGCTGTTAGATGAAGGTGCTCTAGAGCAGTGGTCTTCAAACTTTTTTGATCACGCACCCC